TGGGGCGTCCTTCCTGCAGCGAGGACGCCCAGTCACTCCAGCGCTGCTCCAGGCCAGGCGGGGGAGGGCGGCTGACCGGCCGGGGCCTGCGGATCTGGCTGGTGGCGAGGGCACAAGGTGGGCCGGAGGATGCTTTCTTATTCCCCAGGTGCTGCCCTTCAGGACTGCAGCTCTCTGGAGAGTGGGATGGTGGAGGGCTAAGGACCCCTTGGAGATCTGAAGGGAGGACATAGAAGAGTGTGAGTGTGTGTGTTGGCCGGTGGGGAGGACTGTCCGTGTCATTCGGAGGCTTGGCCTTTTTTGTCGAAAAACAGAGAGTGGGAGCTGTCCTGGCCTGCCCTTTTCGCTTTTTCTAAAGAGCCCCTGGCTGGTGACTGAGGTGGCAGGCCTAGGGCCCTCTGGCCATCCTCGTCTCTAGAGGCCCCGGTCTCTAGCTTTTTTCCCAAGAGGGAGGGGCCAGGCCGGGCACCTCCCTGTTCCTTTCTACTGGCACCTTGGACAGAGGTTGGGGCTGGGCCTCACCGTCCGACGCCTGGAGGGAGGTTCAGGGGTGAAGAATCGTGGCATTGTAGTCACAAGACCATTATGTAACCGCGGGCTCTCTCCTGGAGAGTAAGGTAGCTTTTACTTACTGTAACAAAGTTGTTCCTTTGGACTTTGACGATGAGGCAGTGGAACTGGTGAGCTTGCTGGCAAAATGGTGCCAATTTCATACTTTCACGTCGTCGTCTGTAACCAGGCCCCACCCCCATTCCTGGGTTTGTAAACAGTGCCCCCTTCTGAGCGGTAACCTGGAATAGGCCACCAGGTGACACTAGTTCTCTTCATTTATAAAGAGCTTTATAATATCAGAACATCCCCCCTGGACTGCTGTCTTAGTTTGACCAAACCCCTTGAGATTCCCCCATTCATCTCATTTTAGACATTGGTTTTTAAAATGAGGATGTTGATTTGCCCAAGGTCACAGCTAGTGAGGCCTTGAACAGGTTCTTCTGACCTTTCCTCAGCACCTGTGTGCCCACAGTCTCCTGTTGAGACTGATTTTTCCTCTCTAGAGTGTGGGGGCAGAGGGTCTGCTCACCCAGTGCTCTGCCAATCCCCACTGAAGTGGAACCAGCCCTGCGTAGTTGGGCAATGCTAGATGAGGGTATTTTGGATGCGGCCAAGGGCTCAAGGTCTGCCTGGGTGGCAGCCCGCATAGGTGCATACTGTACATCTGGTACAGGCTGAAATAGTGGTCATGCGTTCTGCTTGCCCTTTCAGGTCATCCAGCCCACAGGCTACTGTGGACTCGAAGATCGAAGTGGTCTGAAATGGTACCAGCCTTGTACTAAACAGAACTGGAATGATGGCATCTTTTGTCTGTTGGGCTGGGCTAAAGAGATGGGGAGGTATGGGAGATCATTACCACTCTGTGATGGAATTGTGGTCAAAGACAGCAGGATTTTGTATTTCATATCTTCAGTTCCTGCAAAGTACCTCTTGTGCTGTAGAGTGCCGGGCAGGTCCTGGCTGGCCTGTTGGGATTGCTCTCATCCCAGGAAGTGTCCATCGGGGTCTGCTTCAGAACTCTGGTACTTTAGGATGAATGCCATGACGTAGATAGAAGGGATATGAAACAAGGGTGTTAAATAATAATTCCTCACCTTTTTTAAGGCACTTCAAAAATGTTTGATTTCCAGGTTTTTCCCTATCTAACTTTTTTTGGGGGGAAAGAGGTCTTAGCATTCCTGTGAGAAAAATAACAGAGTAGTACCTTTTGCTTTACCTAGTATGTTGTACTTTTTGAATGAATGAGTGAGTTTGATATGAGGAAGCAGAGATTCAGGGGAAGGACAAATTAGTGTGTAGCTGGGTCCAAAATCTAGGTCTTTCAAAAATTATGCTGAGCTGTAAAGAGTAAATATTCTAGCAAGGATAACGGGGAAGCAGATGGAAGGATGGGACAGACAGGGTGACATGTGTAACTGGCCAAGTCTGAGGCTGTCTCCTCAGTCTCTCTACCTCGAAGAGGCTTCCCAGCCCTGGGTACTTAAGAAAATGCTCATTGAGCATTGGTGGACTGGAAAGTATCCTATACCTTTTTGATTATATAGAACAGGGTTTGACAACTGTTTTCTGTAAAGAGCCAGATAATAAATATTTTAGGCTTTGCAGGCTATACAGTTTCTTACAGCTACCAAACTCTGCCGTTGTAGTGTGTTTCTATACATACACAGGTGGTGGGCTGAATCTGCCTGATGGTCAACTCCTTCATAGACTATCTTTGTTTGCAGATGCTCTCAAATAACCTTAGTTAATCATGTAGCAGTCTCCATTGAGAGCAAGCCTCACTGCTAAAATGAAAGTTATCAAATGGGGAAAGGCTTTTTACTCATTCATTCATTGTCCAAGACCAAAAAATTAAAAGTAAAGACCACAAATAAGGCCTGCCGATTCCTAGTCGATTTTCTCACTGTGTACCGGTGATGTAATAATGGCCATTAAGTCAAGGGTTTATGGTGTCTAGATGTTATGCCACTTGGTTCATCCTCAGGACAACTGGGCAGTCCCCATTTTACAGATGATAGATAACATGAAAGCACACAGGTTAAGTTACTTGCCTAAGGATACAGCAGGTAGATAATATATGGTAATATTCTGACTATCAGTGCCATTCAGAATATTGAAAATAGATACATTTTAGAGTTGGAAAAACATATGATAAAAACTGATGCCATTCTGTCTTTTTTTCCAGTTTGTCCTGTGTTTCCCGGGGTGGGGACTATGCTGTGTTAAAGACTTAGGGAATTCACAGTCCTAATGCATCACGTCTGTTTTTGGTTGCCCTTGCCTCCTGTACTCCCCTTTCCCACTGGGGCCCCACACCCAGCAGCTAATATTCATTGCCGAGACCACAGAGTTGTCAGTCTCACCTCTCCACTCCTTCTGCAGTGTCACGATGTCTGACCGGAAGGCAGTGATCAAGAACGCAGACATGTCTGAGGACATGCAACAGGATGCTGTTGACTGTGCCACACAGGCCATGGAGAAGTACAACATAGAAAAGGACATTGCTGCCTATATCAAGAAGGTGTGTGGGGAGTGCTGTGGCTGGGAGCCAGGGCAGAGATTGGCAGGAAGGGCTGGAGCTGGGAACATGAGAAAGTAGATACAGCACATGCAAACAAAACCGTAGGACTTGCAGAACAGACAGATTAGGGAGTGATTCTAAATTGCCAAAGCTTCACCTTAGGAGTTAATTTTTTTTTTAAGTTTATTTACTTATTTTCTCTGTGGAAAAGAGGGAGAAGAGAGAGGAACGTACCCCAAACAGGGTCCTCATGCTGTTTTTCACCCCAGCTTCAGCTAGCCCTGGATCTTGGGCAGGAGTGTACCTGATATGTTCAGGGAGGTCTCTTAGACATGAACCCAGAACCTCCCATGTGGGTCAGCATCGCACAGCTTTATGTGACCACTGTTCCACTGTCCAGCACCTCCTTAGGAGTTCTTGATAGAAGCTCTGCTGTGTGCATATTTATGTTTACAGGTAGTTATGTAACTGTGAGCTTTGGAGAAAGATAATACTTTGTAGAGAAGCTTCAGAATTAAATATTGGCCCAGTTTGGAACTATTTCAAAGATCAAAGATATTTGAATAAATAAGATAATATATAAAATTTGAGGGAACTGTATCATTTAAAGAGGACCTGTAATAGTCCTCATTATGTAGGGGTATTCCTTTTCCTACCCTTAAAAAGAACTCAAATATTACATCATTCTCCTTCTATTCTTAAGAAAAGTATGGACTTGAAAATATATATTATTAATTGTCAAGAGGGCACATATACTCACCAAAGGAAGAGAGAGATATATAGAGAGACAGTAACTCCTCATTGGGGTCTGGGCAGTTGCAATCCATTCCCCATATCTCCATTCTGTTGAAATCCTGAGCTTACATGTACACACATGTACCCAGCATGTTTTTCAAGCCATTTGGCCTGGGATTCCAACCATAGTTGGCCATGTGGTATTCAATTTCCTATATTCAGCATTAAGTTCACTGCTACTGGGCCAACTCCTGAATATAATTTTTTAGAAATTAATGAGCAATATTGGGTCAATAGATTTGTTCCCTGAAAAATTCCTGAGTGAATAGACGAGGGGTAGTTAGCATGGTGAGGAAGCAACTGATCCAGAAGTAAGAAAGGGTACTTGAGCTCCCTAGTTCCCAGTCAGGATCCGTATCCATTGGGGTGTAGTCCCAGTTTTTGATATTCTCAACTCTCATATTTCAAGAAGGGTGTGTGAGAGTGGTAGTCTGATCCATGGAAGTGGTAGGGTCTCCTTGAGTCTTTATAAGACTCTCATTTTTTGTCTAGATGGGTGAGATAAGAGAAAATTGGGATGCTGGGAAGCTTTTTGTGTGTGTGGAGTCAAGGGGTGCAGAGCCAGCTGGAGTCAGCGGCTCCTTGCTAAGTAATGGCCTTATCCTGTTCAGAGAAAGACTCAGTCATGAACTTTCAGAGCTAGAAGAACCCTTAGGTTATCTGGTCCAGCTTTCTTTTGCTTATGGACAAAATGAGATCCAGGGGAGTGACCATGACTTTCCTACATTATAGAATCTTTGTTTTTTAAAATTTTATTTATTGTTATTATTTTTTACTTTGACCAGAGAGAGGGAGAGGGAAGGTGAGAAAGCAAGCCATTGGTCCAGGAGTCTAACCGCAGTCAACTATGTGGGAGTCCAGCACCTTAACCATCACACCACCTGCTGGTCCCCATCATAGAATATTGAACAGGATCAGGATTTGAGCTGGGTTTGGTTCCACTGTTCCCTAGTACCTTTTGGCAACATGTGGAATGGGGACTGTGAGGAAGTCTGAAAAGTTCTATGTTGAACACCTGAGGGCACAGAGCCCCAAGATGAGCTACATCTGTGGGACCGTGGTGGTGGGCTGCTTCCCTTTCATAGTCAGGGCAGGATGGGTCAAGAACCGATCCTGTAGACTGAGCTACAGGGTGCAAGGAGCTGCTTATCTGGTTAATTCAAAGATTTCCTGGGTGGTTTTGATGTTGAACTTGTGCCCCCGAGAGACAAGAGGGAATTGCCTTGATCTTTTGAGGTCCTTGTTCTGGTGTGTACATCAGTGAAGTGCCTGTAATATTGATTTATATAGAATTGCTTCTTGCTAGTCTTGACGTTCAGTCCATGTTTTCTCTAATATATTGGTTTTTGGTATTTGGAAATGCTAGTTTAGTAATATATGAGGTGGGAGGTGACAGGTCCCTTTTTGTATCATTCTGTGTGACAATAGAATTGTCCTTTATTCTACTGGCCTCTCTAAAGCCCTTCCTGAAGAATCACAGGGTGGGCTACTGGTATGTGAAGGGGTGGGGTAATAAGAGGGAGAAGAGATGATCAGGACATAGAGTGCTAGAGACTCTGCAGGGAGGAATAATAGAGCCTTTGTGGTGTTCCATTATTAATGAGAGTAAGAGTGTCCTAGCCAACCTTAGAACCTGAGCTCCTGAGGTTCAGGGAGCTGAGGCTTTGGGCTGGGGGTGAGATGAGAATGCAAACTTAAAAACATGTGCTTGTGCTTATGCTAGAGTTGAAGAGACTAACTCCCATTCTAATTTCTCATCCTTCAGTTTCCCTAATCACCTTTTTTTTTCTTTCTTTACTCTTTTGTTTTTTTTAGGAATTTGACAAGAAATATAACCCTACCTGGCATTGTATTGTGGGCCGAAATTTTGGCAGCTACGTCACACATGAGACAAAGCACTTCATCTATTTTTACTTGGGTCAAGTTGCAATCCTCCTCTTCAAGTCAGGCTAGGTGGCCATGGTGAAGGTGTCAGTGGCGGCGGCAGCGATGGCAAGCAGGCGGCGTTGCTGGGACTGTTTTGCACTGGGGCCAGCATCAGGATGTCCTCTCCAATGGCTGTGCTACTGCATGGACTGTATACTCGATTTCATGTGTATGTCGCAGTAAACAAAACCAAACTTCTTTCTGTTTAGTTGCCTGGGGAAGAAGGCTGCTTTATGTTTATTTTTCAAGACTTAAAAAAATTTTTTTGGTTGTATTGCACTAGGAAATCTCTCCCACCCCTCCCTTTTCTCTTTCTCTCCCTTACAAAATAAATAGCCCTCAACAAAGCCTGAAAGACTAGGAGGGCTGAGGAAAAGAAATAGGTCTCTGGAGGTGGAACTAAAACTGCAGCTGCCTCTTCTGGTGGAGAATGCTGCTTTGGGAGGACCAGGAAGACTGCGGGAGGACAGTGTTAGAATTGGCAGAGAGAGGGATAGGAAGAATGGTGGGGGATTGATCTAGTACCAGGGAGAATATTCCACTGAACTGTGATTCTATGGCTTGGGCAGAGGGTGGGGTGGGAGGTGGATTCTTTAAGGGGCCCTGATATGTCTGTCTGGTGTGTGGGAGTAGGGAGCAGACTTGTCTTGCTGTCTTTGTCAGAATTTCTAAGTAAGGGCTGTGTCTTTGTGGATTACCTTCTTTTATTCTTCCTGCCAGAGATCATGCTAGGAGGTTGTTGGGGGTAGAATTAGCTTGATTTTTTTTCCCCCCTCTACATTCTTTTCTGTCTGCTCCCTGCTTACCCCTTGGTTTTCTCATTCCTCTGGAGTTCTCTTAGAGCAGCCCCTGTTGTTAGTTGGCTGGTAAGGGAATTTCTGGTGACTGTAGTTCCTTAGTTAGATCTTAGCAATCAAACCAAATCAATGTCTCCCTAATTCTCCTCTGTGAATATGTGTGTGTATGTGTGTGTGGGTGTGGGTTCGGGGTAGAGGGGAGGGAAGGGGACAGGACAGTGTGGAATCTCTAGGGTGTATGGATAGTTAGGGGATACAGTTAGTTCTATGTGGGCCTTTATGTTAAAACCACTGGGAGTGTCTCTTTGAGGGGTGTAGACAAATGTTACACACACCCTTAGTCACCTAGCCCAGACACTCTGCTTGCTGTATGGCTGTCTGCTCTCTGGGAAGGCTTTAGGAGGATCACCTGGACCAGGTGATTATGCTGCCATCTGCCCTGGAGCTGTCTCAATGGAGTGACTTTGGACGGTTGTAGCCTCTGGTGGGAGGTGGGGATAAAAAGTGATAGAGGAGGTCGGTCTTGTAGTGATGAAGCCAGATATCAGGAGGTGGAGCAGGGCCATGAGTGAGAGGAGATTCCAAGGACGATGCAGGGGGTATCTTGTCTGTTGACGAAGTAGGAGTGGGATGGGTAGGGTGGTCATTGCTGATTGAGCTGCTGATTGTCATGAATTGCATTCAAAACTCATGTTTAGGATTGGCACTTTGGGGTTGGGGGATCCAGCTCATTCTTTTATTTTCAAGTCCATTCTTGGGGGCTGGTGAGGTGGCAGGAAAATGTCTACTTTCCAAGTCCTTAGTGTGTGCTGAGCTTTCTTTTTGATGCTGTCAGGGGAGGGTGGAAACTGGGGTGGTTCCCTATATCAAACCCTTCAGTGGGCACAAGATTGAGTGCTTGATTTTAGGTTTATTTTTTTATGAATGTCCAAATCTGTGTTTTCCCCCACCCTCCCAGACTTGTGTGGCCAGTTGAAAGTGTCTGGTTTGTGTTCATCTCCCTCATTTCTGGAGCAGGGGCTGACACCCTGCCACATCTATGCTCTGCATCCATGCCTCTTTTGGACATTAAAGGTCGATTGATGCACCTCTGAGCTGTTTGGCTTTCTTTTGGGGTAAGGGGTTGGCTTGGTGGCAATGGTGCACATGGTGGGAACAGAGGGTATCCAGGTTGAAGAGACTGGAGACTGAAAAGGATACTGATTGGCCTGAAGCAGGACTTATAGGAACTAGACTTAATGCCTTTTAAGAAGGGGAGAACTAACCAGCAGCACTCACCTGCCAGGGCTCCTGGGCCCTACTTCCTTTAGAGGTGGATGGCCAGGAAAGCCACGTTTTGGATCTTTGATGTAGTAGATACTGCCTTCCAAGCTGCTGTCCTGGAACGGCCTGAGCTTAGCAAAACCTCATAGTCCTCCTACTCCCCTTTCTAAGACTTTCCTGAGCCTAAAGACTACATCAGCTAAGTCCTGTTCTGGCCTCTCAGAAATAGAAAGCTGTGGGTCTTCAGAAAGATGGAACCTCTTTTCATGAAATATGCATGACTCTGGTTTGTCTTGGTTGTCCCATGTGGGTACCCCTGCCCCACACATCTAGAGAATTCAGAACCAAGATTTGTAAGAGTCCATCCATCCCTGACCCTGTGCTATCAGTGCTTGGGCCAAATGGCTTTAGTCCTTATAGAGGTGTTAGGAAAGCAGAGATGCTTGTCCTCTCATGTTATTTATTCATTCAAAAGAAATGTTTACAGAGTTCTGTGCTTAGGCCTAGGATGCTGTTCACAGAGGCAAATGAGACAGGCAAATAATATCCTACGGCATGTGCATTCTAGTGGGTAGAACAGGACACACATTGATTAGCTTTTCCCAATGATGATAAATGTGTTATCAAAGAAAGAAACTGGACAGTGAGCTATTGAGTGTTGGGAGTGGGTTTTTAGCATTCCTAAAGACTGAATTAGGTCTGGAACAGTGAGGTCCTAAGGGATTAAGATGAGGGACTTGGAAGGGCCGGTAGGTGGTGCGGTTGAGGGTACTAGATTCCCACATGGCCAACTGTGGTTCAAGTCTCAGAACTGGTGGCTTGTTCTCTCTCTCCCTCTCGCTCTGTCCCTCTCTGGTCAGATTGAAATAAATAAATAGCTAAATAAAATCTTAAAAAAGATGAAGGACTTGAACCCTAACTTCCCACCTTTGCTGGTATGAGTAATTAGACAAAATTAGAGCCTTATTTTGGAAAGAATTAAGTCACGGTTCACATTTCATCTGTGATAGGTGTCTGTAGAACCAAAACTCATTCATTCACTTCCTGCCCTGATGGAAGAGGCAGTCCAGGTGGTATGTATAAAGAACATCCCTGCACAGGTAAGTACACACTGCTCACTGGAAGGCTAATCTTACAGGGCTTTCTAGTGGAGACGAGCTGCCACCCTGTGGGGCCAAGAGGGGAAGGATGTAAAGGATCATAGGGACCAGCAGTTGGCATAATGGCTATGTTGCTGGACTCGCATGTGGTCGCCCATAATTCGAGTCCCGGACCTGTGGCTTAAACTCACGCCGGGCGTGTGTGCATGCGTGCCTAAGATCCTGAGAGGAGAATGGAGAAGGGGTTGTGGCATGGCCGTGCCCCCTGGGGGGTGATTTCTCGCTTTCTGTCTCTTAGGTCTTTCTGGTGGGCACGTGTGCCCTATAGCAAAAACCTCTCAAAAAAAAAAAAAAAGGAGGATCACGGAAAGGGCTGTGGAAGGTAGATGGGAACTGTAGAATTCTTACAGAAGACTTTAGCTACTATTGAAACTTTGGCCAGGCAGAGAGGAAGTGGGAATATCAATGTCCCCAACCTCTCTTTTACCCTGTTTTTCAGTCCTCTATAGACTCCCTTTGGCCAAACCTAACTGAAAGGCAGATGACAAGGCTGACCAAGCGATGCAGTCTGTAGAGGTTAGTCCTTTGCCTCCAGGGATCAGTAGGAAAGAGAAGAGTGGAGAATGAATCTTAGGTGGGAAGGGGGTGGCAAATGGATAAAAAACAGCATGTAGGGAATTGTCTGCTGCCATGGTACCATTTCTGCCCTCCTGAACTCTGGTATCCTTTCTTCTCGGCCTAAAGTGTCCCAATTTCGTTGAATTTTTGCTCAAACATTCTCAGAGGGGGCTTCTCAAATTCTATATGAAATAGTGTATCTCCCCCTGAATCACTATTAACTCTACCCAGTTTAATTCTGCATAACACCTGCCAGTATTTGACATTTGTTTACTTGTCGGTCTCTCACAACTAGAACGTAAGTTACATGAGAGCAATCTTCTTTATCTTTTTAAAATTTGCTATGAGGCACATGTACTTACCTGAGAGTGATTGGGTGCGGGTTGGGGGGTGGGTGTGAGGAAGCATCCTCCAGGGGAAATGGTTACTACAATCCCTTCTCCATTTTCCTCTTGAGATTTTGGTCCCATACACATATGCTCCCAGAATGTTTTTCAAGCCACTGGGTCTGGAACTTAAACCATATAGTTGGCCATGTGGGATGCAGCCACCTTTACCACCACACTACCTGCTGGCCCCAGTTTTCTTAACTGCTTTATCTTTAAGCACACAGAACAGTGCCTGTCCTGTAGGTAGTAACAAATGTCAATTGACCAAATGGAAAGAGAATATAAGAAGCATGGGCAGTCCTTTTGCCCTTGGGCTCCCTGGCCTGTCCTAGAGACTTTTGTCTTTGGCTTGGCTTCCTCTTGCTGCCCAACCTTTGTATGTACCTCTTGCCACCTAGAATGGAATGAAAGGGGATCCTCCATAAGTGGTTTCAGGCCTTAACCCCTCTTTCTTGCCAGCTATGGAAGAATGAAGTTGTGTGTTCGTAAAATGCATTTTATCTTTAAAGCATTTCAGTTGCTGACATCTCAGAGCACCCTTCTAAGCTAGACTTAACTGTCATTAGCCACAGTTTTGGAAGCAAACTGTATTAGGGTGAGTGACTTGCCAAAGCCACTGTAGCTGGTAACATTACTAGAGCTCAGCACTGACTCATAAGGGCTTAACGGGATTCTATAGCAGGGGTCTCACCCCTTCAGAGTCAGGCCCAGCTCTCTTGAGCTTAATAATGAATCCCCTGTTCCACTGATGTTCCCTGTCTGGGCTCCTGGTTAGCAGGGGCAGGGAGAAGGATTTCCTGTCTGCCCCTCCACTTCCCCTCTACCAAGGCTTAAGGATCTCCTTTCTCCTTAAGGCCTTTTCAGAGGATGAATCTTCTGGTCTTAGAGAGCTGATTCCTAGAGTTCTGAGCTCTTAGGCTTCTGTGCTAAAGACACAAACTCATCACCACCTTAGGAACAAGGAGTGACCTATCACCTACTGAAGAGGTCAGGTGTACTTGCATTTGTGATGTATGTAGGTTGGGTGTCCACACCAATTGACATAAATACTACCACCAACTGCAACCATGCCAACACAGAAAGTTTCATAAGATTGTAGAACCTGGAAGTTTTCCATGTGGGATTGCCTCACAGAGCAGTGATAAACATCTACTGGTCAAATGGGAAAAAAAAAAAAAGATTTCTCCAGTGTGTAGTATTTGCGGTAAGGCTGCTAGACATTGCTATCTTAGGCTTTTTAAAGAGAAGTCAAAAAGCAATGTGGTGGGACCAGCAGTTAGCATAATGGCTATGTCACTAGAATCCCATGTAGTCAACTGTGGTTCTAGTACTGGACTCGGTAGCTTAAACTCACGCTGGGCACGTGTGCATGTGTGCCCAAGATCCCAAGAGGAGAATGAAAGAGAAGGGATTGGTGGCATGGCCATCCCCCCTAGGGGATGATTTCTTACTTTCTATCTCTCTGTCTCTCTCGGTCTTTCTGGTGAGTGCACATACCCTATAGCAAACACACACACACACCAAAAAAAACACCTCAATAAAAACCAAACAAAACAAGCAAAAAAGGGCAGTGTGGTGATGTGGGCATAATGCAGGATCTAGAACTAGAAGACATGGGATTGAGTCCCGTGTCTGATACTTATTCACTGTATGAACTTGGACAAGTTACTTGACCTGAGCCTCAATTTCTTCATCTGTAAAGTAGAGATAATATCTGTCTTCCCTAAAGGGTCGTTATGAAGATCAAATGGCAATGTGTGTGAAAGCGCTTTAAAATTGGAAAAAGATCATGATGAAGAGGTGAAAGATGCTGATTTTAAGAGTATCTAATAAAGTTTGGGGAAAGAATAAAGTGTTGTGGGAAGTCATGCTCTCAAAACTCCCTTTCATATCCTACCATCTTTTTCATTCTCTGCCCATTTGTACTCATATTGCAAGGAAGGTAATTAAGGATCAGACAGGGAAAAAAATGTACTTAAGGATACATGGATGTTTGGGATAACTGGGATGTAGAACTTGGTCTCCTGATCCCCAGGCAGAGTTTGATCCTGGTCTGAGGTGGCAGAGGGAACTAATTTATCTGAAGGTTCTGAGCCCCCTACTGATTTCTGCAGTTTCCTATACTTTAATGGTTCAGTAGTTTATAGTAGATACACAGACTTGTGCAACTGTCAATATCTAATTCCAACACTGTCATCACCCCTAAAAGAAGCCTTGTGCTCATTTGGAGTCACTTACTCCCTACCCCCACCTCTAGGCTCTAGAAATCATGAATCTACTTTCTATGAATTTGCCTATTCTGGACATTTCATACAAATGGAATCATGCAGTAGGCAGTTTATCATGTCTTGCTTCTTTCATTTAGCATATTTTCAAGGTTCATCTGTGTGGTAGTATATGTCAATACTTCTTTTTTTTTTTAACTTTCAAATCCAATTTTCTTTTGCTCTCACATACAAAACTTCACACATCATGTTTCTTGTAGTTATAAAGTCACTTGATGTCAGCCAGGTACTATTTTATCCCTAAAGATTTATTGGTATTAAAATCTGACAATTGGGAACAGCGGTTGGCATAATGGCTATGTCGCTGGACTCCCATGTAGTCAACCATGGTTCAAGACCTGGACCTGGTGGCTTAAAATCACGCCGGGTGCATGTGTGTGTGCCCAAGATCCTGAGAGGAGAATGGAGGAGAAGGGATTGCGGCATGGCCATCTGGGGAGTGATTTCTCTCACTTTCTGTCTCTCTGTCTCTGTCTTTCTGGCAAGTACATGTGCCCTATAGCAAAAACCTCTTTAAAAAAATGTAAAAACCTGACAGTTAACCAGTGTTAAATCCTTAAAATATTTACATAGTACAGCACATTAAGCTTTGGATGCTTGGCAATTGAAGCACAAAGAGGACAAGCTCCCCGTTCTACACGCTTAGAATCAGGTGTTCCCCCTCCCTATCCGGTGACTGTACACTGGTTCAAGGGGCAGTGGAGGCAACAAGCAGCTACTTCAGAGGACACTGAATTGTGATCAGGAGGCACATTGTGATGTCACTCATGTACCATGCTGCCTTTCTCCAAGGCAGTCTTGTAATTCTAGAATGGCAGGGCCAGCCGATACAGACAACATAGTTATTTACTCTGTGGAGACCTTCCACTCAGACTATGCATGCACGGTGACTTTGAATGTAATTGTCCCAGAAGCTTGTCGCGATCATCCAGGTTTTTCAGGTGGAGTGACCCATCAACCTTGCACTCAACTGTTACTTCTTTTCCACAGCTGTTGTGATCAAAGGGGACCTGGACAGCAATTAGTGGTTGTAGATATCTCATGTGAAGTTTTTCCCCATAATATGGAAACTAGTTTAAGTCCACATCTCCCAGGTTAGGATAGGTGTTTAAAGCTGGTGTGTATTCCCCCTTCACAGTACAGTCTATCCTTGGTTCTCCTTCAGGCTTTAAACCAATTAGTTTGTTCATTTTCACAAGAATACAAGGGTTTCCTTGGGAATAGCCAAAATTGGGATCATCCATAGGACTGCATGATTGAAGTATCATAAGAGGAAACGGACATGCAATATAAACTGGACCCTTCTGTTCAAAAAGCACTCCATCAGGACAACCTGTGACATTCTTCTGCTCTCCTTGGTGCGGTATATGGCTCTAGAAACTTCTTAAGTCTGTAATGTACTCTTTGTAGGAACTTGGATTAGACATGCTAAATGAATATTCCAACGTGGTCACTGGTTTAAGAAAAACTAAGTCTTGGACTAGGGATCTAGTCCTTCAGAGTCTGAGGCATAATCCACATTGTGAATGAGAAAAGTGCAGCCAGGAACCCATAAAACATTAGGTAGAAGATCAAACCCCAGCTCTTGGTGATGCACCCCAGGAACTCAGCAGTGTTCAGGTTGTAGATGAAGAGCTTCCACTTGGCCAGGATCGGGCTGAAGGACTTCTCCTTGGTCATGGAGCGTGCGTGGAAGACCAGCGGAGCGGCGGCAGTGGGGCGGAGGTGGCAGGAGGTGTGACCGGGCTGCAGCAAGGCAGTGGAGGGCAGGACACACCTTGCTTAGGTGAGTGCTGGAGGCCACTGCGCTGTGCTGGGCCAGGCTACTGCTCCTCCTGGAGCCTGACA